TGAGCATGGAATCTGCAGTGTCGGGATGATGCGCCCAATTGGCAACAATCCATATCGTCGACTTGCGGGCTTTATTCAAAAAAGGAAAGAATGCTCCTGCACCAATGCATCGTCCAGAGCTCAGCAGTCCCACGGCCGCCACTGTCCCCGTTCAAAATTGCCTGCGTGTGCGCATTTGTTCTTCTGCCTTTTGCTAACACGAGGGACCAGAGTCCCGACATCCACACGCAGACAACCTGGCCACCCCAACAGCCAGCGTTTTCGTACTTGCTACTTTTCCGTATCATCGCGGCAGGGCGGGAGAGCGCTAGTCCAAACCAGAATTGGTTACACACACACCAACAGCATTATAGCATGTTGATTGGACAGTAACATGATGATGGCGTTCCATTATAAGACAACAGATGTCATATGACAAAATGAAGACAAATGATGACAAATCTGCCATTTTGGAAAAGGTCGTTACCGGCTGTTGCCTCCCCTCTCCCCATACCGGTCCTGTTCGTTGGCCCATCCCTCCATGACCCAGAACTCAACTCTGAGCCACAGGACAGCCACAACATCGAGGTGCGCATGCACAACGCAGGTGGCCGTGAGCGGAAGCCGTGCAGCCGGCCGCCCACACTTGGTCATTTCGCGCGATTCATGACATTCGGCATCGTCAAATTGCCGAAGGCTGTTCATCAGTCGCGGCAAACTCGCAAGAATCAATACTACATTCGCGTGGTGTTCGCCCCTTCAGGTGTCGGTTTCACCAATGCCGGCATGAATCGACTCCGGCAGCCAGCCGGAGTGTGCGCGCATCAAAAACGCAAGTCCCAGGCAGGGTCCTCACTGGCCTTCAACTAAAGCTCTCCAACCCCAGTCAGGCCCCAGTCAGGCCTGCCAGACCCCTGACTGTCGCTTGCGTTCTTGACCCGCAAACCACAGAAGCCGTGATACGCTCGCTCGCTTCCTTAAAAGGATCCCAAGTTTACGGTTACTAACCGCCGTGTCTTCTCGAGTAAGGTCTGACTGATTGATTGACGGGGCCCACAGCGCATCCCCGATATCATACAACGCAATACAGCTAACGTTGCGTTTCTTCATCAGCCGATGATTGACCGCATGAACGGAGCTGGCCGGCCCCAACCCCAGCCTCCCGTTCTCTCATGTGCAACTATTGGCGCGATGGTTGACGGGCTGGTGCGACCCGCGCAGCCCCCTTCCCGTTCGGCATGCCTCCCTCCCCCCACAAATGCACACTGCCCCTCAACCGCCCCTGCCCCCCCGTGCCAGGCCGACAGTCGGACCCGGCGCAACGGTACCTATTTTGGTCCTCCTCGCTCCATCAGGCCTGCCCAACCAACGGCGGCGCTTGGCCGCTTCCTCGTCTGCCACCCAGTCTGATGCAGCAGCTGATTGACGGGTGGAACGATACGAGGAGTCGTACGGGGGCGGCTGGTCCCGCCGTGCGTCGCGCCCTAGCAGGTGTCACAGCGAAACTGCATCCGGCCTGAGGCTCCACGCGCCATCCTCGGCACGCCGCCGTATGAGACCAGAGCTGCCCACGTGGAACTTGCTCCTTTACAATGTCGGCAAAATGCGGTAGGGCATCACGAAAATCGGTAAAATAGCAGTTGGTCGGCCCTGGAAGTTGGCGCCAGTGAGTACCCTCTCGCGGCAGCAGCGTCGCGAGGCCCTGCACAGAGCAGTCAGATTCCAAGCCCTCGCGTGGTGCCAAGGTGGACGGCTGAATCGCTGCTGGGCGAGGTCAGCGGATCGGCGAGTCAACTTGCGCGCGGCGGTGCTGCAGTACCGTCCCATCGGCGTTCCTGCGGGGAGGCCTTCCACGCCACTGCCGCCCCGTCAACTTTGGCGGGCGCTTGGGCGGAGACGGGGGCGCAGGAGGCGGGAGCGCGGCCGCCAGAGTGCAGGTGCGGGAGATCATATTCAAATTCGGCCAAGGTGTGGATGAGAAGCGACCAGACCCAAGGAACGGTGGTCAAAACTGATGGTCAAACTTTGATCGCTGCACGCGCACGGCACACGGCACACGGCATGCCTGCAGGGTGTACATGCGGCGGGTTGATTTTCAGGGCCGATCTTTCTGTCGATTTTGAGCCCCCGGGGGAGGGCGGGGATGGGCGCCGTGTTTGTGGCGCTGTGTGGCCGGGAGACATGAACAGAGAGGGACGCCGATCTCGATGGATCGGCGAGAATCGGCGGGATGCATGCGCTGGGGGGACAGTTGCGACTCGAGGCCCTGGCTGGCGGGCGGGGCTCGGGGGCGCCAAGGTGTCGCGCCCGCTGTCGAGGTTTGGGGCCGAGGGCGGGACCGAGAGGGGGGGTGGGAGATGGGCTGGTGACGGCCGTCAGCTTAGATGAGGGTGGGGGCGTGTACATTGTGGCAGTTGTGGCGCCCGTCTCAATGGGGCCACATGCAGTCTTGCAGTCGTCGCTGCTCGGGCAGTGTCGTATGAGTATGCGACTTTGCAGGTGGTGCCCACCTTTTTGGGCCGTCTTTTATTGGCCGCAAAGGTGCGAAAGGGGGCCCGCCTTGTCCTTGAGGGAAAATTTGAACAACGGCGTTTGGTGGTTTGGCCGCCTTGCGGGATGTGGGTGGCTGCGGCACGGGCACTGTTGCTGTGTCGCACGAACCTTATGTCCGAGTTGGAATGATTTTGGGGTCGGGCTGGGACGCCCTGGTTTACAGGTGCTCCCCGAGACAGTTTGCTGGCTCCGCCATGTCGTCACTGGGCAGGTTGGCCAGGACCCCGAAACTAAACTACTGAACAGGCAGCGACACCAGTCAAACACCGAGGGAATGATACATTACGGAGCTCGATTATTTGAGGGCCGGGAATTTAAGATATTGCTGGTGTCGGGGCCCATCACTGTTCACTGATAAACAGCGGGAACTCGTCGCTGCTTGCTGGCATAATTTGCAGCAGTACATCGCACAACAATAGTACGTGGCCGACGTGGTGCTTCTCGCACCATGAGAGCGCCGAGGTGTTAGAAGGTTAGCCTCGACGGTTCCCTTGAGGTCAGAAGAGAGGCAGCGGTGACGGGTTCTGTGCTGAGGTCGAATTCCTAAAGCATCCACAGCGGTGTATTGTGAGAGTGGACTGTACAACGGTAAAACCGGAACACGATTGGATAAACTCCATCAAGCTTATTCAATTCACCGCTGCAATGAGTGACATCTGGTTGCATTAACTTGGTGATCTTTGGGGCTTTAAGGGAACCAACTGGGCTCCTTGCCATATCCCTGGCAGAGTGGTCAACTGCCCAGATTTTCCTTCTTTGATTGGTGTCAAATAACAGGACACCCTAAAGCTTGAATTACTTTAGTTGACATAACAGAATCAAAATCGCTTGTCATTCGAATCGTGGCTGATCGAGGCACCACATTGCAGTCGTGTCCATTTTTCTGCTGCCATGATTCACAGGCGTCTGTTATGCGGATGGAATTTCAAATTACAACTTGCAAATTTAGAAATTTACAATTTAGAAACCACGTTCTAACAAGTACACACAAGGCCCCACTTGGGCCGGGATTGCTCAAACAGCACGGGTCGGATGGCGTCCAGCGAACGTCTGAGCTGTTGTTTCGATAGTATCGGAATCGCATGTGGACTATCAGCAGTTTGTGGCATGACTCATGCCAAGACACCAGGCTCGAGCTCGTCTGCTCTGTTGCTGAAGAACATTACCATCTTGGCCATGTGCCAAGAAGCTTGTCCATCACCTTGTGTGCCTCCGCCGTTGGCGAGGCCGCGAAATCAAGCACGCTGTGCGCTGCGTCGATTGGCTGTTGAACGCGGATTCAGCCACCATGCAGGTTCAATTCCAAAGTGTCGCGCTGAATGTGATCTCACTGAATATCCACTTCCCAGCTTTAGTTCCAATCTAGTTCAGTGTCAACTAGATGCTAATTTGGTTAAGAGTGCGGCTGCACGTCAATCGCCTAGCGCCGCTGCGTTTCTGAATGGGCACCGCTCTTTGATGGAACGTTGGGATGGTCGATCGTTGGAACGGATCGATGAATCACTGGCCAGCATCCCTGGGCAAGTGAGCAATGGCACAGTGTGAGGGGCAGCCGGATTGTTGCTTGTGCTCCCACATGCCGTCGTATATTCAAACTTTCCGCATCCAACAAATTTGCCATTGCGCTTTTTGCTCCGCAGTTTTTGCAGAGCGTTATTTTTATGTTTTGCGTTGCTCCACCAAAATACTGTTGAAACAGCATTATTTATTTATTCGTGTTCTCCGCAATAAAGGCCAAGCTTTACGTTGCTGTGGAGAAGGGTTGAATGCAATACGGTGGGGAGAAAGTGGTCGAGGGTGTTTAGCAGGGCATGTTATGGACCGAGATGGCCCCTGTCTTTGCAAAGGAAGCCATTTGGGCCCTTCTGTGAGTTCCGATTTTTGGGAATCTGCCCATAATGGGATTTTGCTGAACGAATGTGCCTGTGCTTGTGGTGCTGGAGCACTGGTGTATGCAGTCCTGCTGACGCCTCTCAAGGCAGCGGGCGGATGCGGCGGCGTACTTGCGCAGCTTATGTGACCCACTGGAATAGCAGGGCACTCGTCTGAAAGGGCGAGGAAGCCGATATTCGGAGGGGATCTCCAAATGTTTTCACAGGCGAGAGGGTGGCGGCCATCGCCACACGGAATAAACATCTGACCATCTAAATACCCAATCAATTAAATTTATTGAGCTGATTGGTTATTTAGACAGTTATTGGCTATTTGACTGGCCATTTGTTTAAGCGGTTGATTGTTGTACACAACGCCAACATTAAGATTCTTGTCGCTAATGCAGCATTGCTGACCGTCGAACTGCTCTATGGCGCAGGAGCGCTCCCGCGACTGGCGCCAGTCAACGCCCGGTCAACATACGGTCAACATTTGGTCAACATTCGGTCAACATACGGACAGCACCTGCCGCCGGCCCCTGATCCTGTTGGGCCAGCGGCGCAGCCAATTTCCGCCGGCCCAAACACGCGCGCCCCATGGCCGCCTGGCCTGGGCCCCCGGGCCCCAGCTGCGGCCCCAGCGCGCCGTGCCCTGAGGCCCGGCGCGTGGTCCTCGGGGCCCAGCACCCGGTCCTGGCCGCCGGCGTCCCAACCGTAGGCGTGTCGGTTCTTGGTGGCGTGGCCGGGGCTGTGCTCGTTTTTGTCGTGGCCGTGCTTGTGTACTGGCTGTACTGCAAGAGCTGCGGGCAGGGCCGGAAGTCGTGCTGCAGCCCGTACCGGCCCATGGAGGAGGAGGACAAGTGCCCCGACGTGGAGGCCTGGACCCAGGGGTCCGACGGTTACGAGGGCGTGGACCTGGGAGAGATCGACATCTCGTCGCCCCTGGGGCGGGGCGGCTTCGGGATGGTGTACAAGGGGTCGCTGCAGGGCGACACCGTGGCGCTGAAGGTGATTGATCATCGAATGAATGTTTGATTGGTAAATGCTTGCATTTCTACTTGGCATGGTACTAAATGCTGCGTTGAAATGTTGTGAAGAGCTGTGAAATACTGTCCTGAGCAGAATCGTACACATGGGGCCTTCAAATGGGCTATGAACATCGCGACTGCAGGCAAGGCGTCGTCACAGGAAGGGAAATGCCGAATCGATGCAGCTTCTGCCCCGGTCGAGCTGCTGAAGTCGAGGGCCATTAAGACTGCAATGCGGCAATGTTCTGCAATGGAACCAGCTTGTCCTATTGTGTCCATTGTCATGTCAACTCGCTCTGCGGCTCAGCGGTCCCGAAGCATACAATTGGTTACGTCTCAAGTGCAACATAAACATAAGTGAATTGCTTTATCGGAGTACTCGGTAAAATTGCGAAGAGAAATCAAAGGGAAATCAAGGAGAAGCGAAGGAGAAATCAGGCGCGTTAATTTTGAAGTTGCCTGGTGCAGGTGATCGAGCACGACGGCAAGCTGCTGGAGGGGCGCAAGGAGCCCCTGGAGG